TATAATGGACTTAAATGGGCTTTATTAAGCTACTGCTGTATCCTCTACTGGCTGCTGATTCAGTGGCCTAAAAAAAAACCCCTTTGCTGTCGAGTCAATTCCAACTCATAGCGACCCCATAGGGTTTCCAGAGAGTGACTAGTGAACTCCAACTGCCAGCCTTTTGGTTAGACGTAGCTCTTAACCACTGCTCCACCAGGGCTCCTTAAATAATTGAAGAGATGTATCTGGTCTACGAAAAGGCTAGAGTATTTCAAATCTAATAGGTGATCCCGTTTATTTTAAGACAGCCCTTTGCAGAAGGAAATCATGCCTAATAAAAACTCTATAAACCGTATTATTTTCTGGTGAAGTATAAATGGATACACAGAACTAGCAGGTGGTTTTATAAATATCTTCAGAACGATGGAGGATAGGGTTAAACTTTCAAGACCTTTCTAGCAGCTAGTGAATTATACATGGTAACAGTCCGTATACAGAACAACAGAGTTTTTTCTTTTTCATTACTATATCTGAATATAGGTCAGATTAAATCACAGGAAAACAATACTTCTTTATAGTAGACATGAAACTGAAGAACCAATTTTTTTTCCTAAAATTTTTGACAGAAGATTGTTTTTATTTTTAAAAGTACACTATGTATTGTTCCTAGTGATTTATATTTCCTTTATAAATGCTACATATGTATATGCTGGTTCTTTTTGTTTTTAAATTAATAAATGCATTATCACATTTTCTCCATAAGGCAAAATATGATTCAAACTTTTGGACATCTCTGGGCCTATTTGCGTGTAAATGTGTTGCATTTAACTGATGGTACTAAGAAATATCAAAGAGAAAAGGAAAACCCATAAAATATACTATATTTTGGATAGTATTGTCAATGTCGCATCTCTTATCTCGTGTTCACTTTAAAGTTACATAGCATTCCTATACCTCTAGACAGTAAGTATGTCATGAGCTCAAGGAGTTGGAGAATGTTTATCCCACTGAATAAATATAAGTCAGGACATAATTTCAACTGTCGATCTTTGAATTAGTTGCTCAACTGTTTCTGTATGTGGTCTTGAGCTGTTTATTACCATGGTAAATTAGTGCCTTCCCCCCTTGAGATACCAGGAGGACTACGGACTATGTGAGGAAGAATACCTACCAGTTTTCTCTCTCTTCGTAGTTTTTTGATAGATTGCTTAATTTTACATTTAACGTTTAAAAGTATTTTACTCTTGGAGGGGTTTTTCCTTTTCCGCTTTTTAACTTGTTTAGCACTGATTCAT